TGTTCCAGGTATGTCCCACCTGGAGGAGGCTTCGGGGGGGAAGACCTAAGACACGCTGAAGGGGCTATGTCTCTCGGCTGGCCTGGGAATGCCCCAAGAACCCACCAGAGGAGCTGGAGGAAGTGTCAGGGGAGAGGAAAACCTGGGGTTCTCTCCCTAGACTGCTGCCCTTGCAACCCGGTCCAGGAAAAGCGGACAAAAATTAAATGAATATGTTGTGTTGATCATCCTTAAATCTCCTAGCCAAAGCCCATCATGTAAGTGATTTGGTATTATTACCTCCCAGCAGTCTTAAGCGGCTCTTGAGCCTCCAAAAGTTCATTTGCATTTCATCTTCTGGGGTGCAAGTATTTTGTTATATTTTATTTATTGTATATTTCATATTAACTATAATATTATTGGCCCCAGTTTATCAGAAAGAGACCATTTTGTTCTCTTTGACTCATTGGATGGAAATTTGCAGGTGCTTCACGCAATATTCCAGTTTTGTCCATAAGTTTAATTCACATCTTTGGATGAAAATATACTGAATTCCATTGTAATGTTTTTCTACTATAGAATTCAATATATCCTAGCAACCAGCATTCTTCAAAGTATCTTCGTGTTCAATAGAAGAAAGAATCTCAAGATTTAAAACCACACGAGCCAGAGTAAATGATGAGGTCATTTTCATTTTTGGGTGAAATATCTCTTGAAAGATACTTGCTTTAAATTTAAAAATAGTTTTTGTGTACATTTTAAATGAAATGTGAAAAAAAAAAAAAATCAACAACATACGACAACTAAATACTAAATTACTAACCTAATTTGCTTTTCTTAATTCAGAGAACCGTGGGTACATCAGATAGTATAAAGAAAAGCTTAATAGACAACTTTACACACACACACACACGCGCACGCATACACACACACTGCTGCCAAACTTCAAAGAATGCACAATAAAGATGAAAGAAAACTGTTAACAGGACTCAAGGGAGTATTTATAAACCTGCTCTGTTTCTAGCCGTAACAAATCTAGTCAGTGGCACTTGACATAATCACCGTAGACATCGCAAACAATGAAATCAAGCACATCAGAGCCCTCGACACCTGTGAAAAGACCTAAATATTTGCAGCAGGGTCTCCAGCTGCTCAAACTGCAGTTGTTCGCTTTAATTTCCTTTCTTTTTTGGTAATCAAAAGCCCTTCACTTTCATCTACTGCAAATTTCCAAGCTTTGACTCAGTACTGCAAATAAATTTGGTGATTTATTTAAACTATAATAGTAAAAAAAAAATTGTAGGAATATCAAAGCAATTAATTTACATAAAATAATTTACTTAAACTAATACAAAAATATTAATAGTTGTAATAAAAATATTAGGGGACATTAAAAGTCATCGTTCAACTCGAAAGCATATTGCGCGAAATTTAAACTAAGGTTAAATAAAAATTTCAACTGAAAAAGAAGTGAATAAAACTCAAGTTACTCACATAGTTGTTGCTGTATGACTTCCTTTTGTCGTTTGAACTTTATTTTGAAGATTTGGTTTTCTCTTCATGACAACTCCCAGCTTAAGAAGTGAGTAAAATGTCCAGTAAATTACATAAAACCTACATTTTATATTATTTATAAACATCTTCTGAAACCATATGGATATTCTGTGTGATAAAAAAAGTATAAACAGTCTTTAAAGGTGTCCTGTGTAGCAATATAATGTGAACAGGTGTTTTGAATCATGGCTGCAGGTGAAATGCGGGTTCTACTAATCAGCATTTAGTCTACCCAGTCCTTAACAAAGAATTCAGCATTTGCTACTAAGATTCCAAGTGTTCCAAGTACTGCATTACGTATTCAATGATTCTAGTGATCATGCTTTTTTTTTACCATCATTAATTATGATTGTAATAAAACAGTCTTGATTTTTATAGTGGCCATTTAACATTCTGCAAGCTTGTAATTAATTTAGCATTTTAAATATAGTGTAAATTGATTTTTCGCAGTCAGCTCTATTGGAGTGCTTAGGGATGCAGAAAGCTGCTTGCGGTCTGGACGGAGGTCAGAAACAAAGGTGCACACACAGACACAAAAAGACAGACTCGTAGTATTTTAGAGGTTGGTGACATAAGCAAAAAAAAGTGTCACTACTCATAAGTACTACCATGAAGGCTTTACAAAGTTAATAACTAGAGGATTAGCGTATCTAATTCCTTTGGACTTAACATTTTAATAAGGCTATGCTTCTGCCTCAGGGGTGTAAATATACTAACAAATGTTCACAACTTAGAAATAAAGTCACATTTTTATAATCACAATTGATAGTAGGAACAAAATAACAAGCAACTGGCAGCTAGTTCTCTATAACTCTCACATGGTCACCTACTGAAGCTAAGCAGGGTTGCACCTGGTCAGTACTTGGATGGAAGACCACATGGGAAAGCTGGGTTGCTGCTGGAAGTGGTGTTAGTGAGACACACAGGGGGTGTCCAACCTATGCCCTAGTATAGTGATTGGGACTCTATAATGCTCAGTGAGCACCATCTTTTGGATGGGATGTTAAACCGAGGTCCTGACTCTGTGGTTTTTAAAAATCCCAGGATGTCCTATGAAAAAGAGTAGGGGTTTAACCCCGGCATCCTGGCCAAATCTGCCCTCTGTCTATCATGGCCTCCTAACCATCCCCATATCGTAATTGGCTTCATCACTGTCTACTCTCCACCAATCAGCTGGTGTGTGATGTGCAATATGACTGCCGTCGTGTCATCCAGGTGGATGCTGCACACTGGTGGTGGAGGACATTCCACCCAAAAATGTCTAAAGTGCTTCGAGTGTCTAGAAATGCACTATATAAATGTTAGGAATTGTTGTTATTATTAAGGAATGTGGTGATTTTTAGAAACAGTTGCAGCAAGAAGTACATTTGCAATTACGTGGTTTAACGTTACACGTCACGCACCCTATACTAACTTATTTTAAGGTATCTTTGTGTCACCAGATCTTCCCTATCCTCATGTTTCCTCGTGAGTTTAGATAAACTGGTAGGTACTGTAAGTATGTCACGTGACACATGCCAGACCAAAGATTAACATTTGTCTAGATACACCAGGTAAGAGGGTGTGTGCCAACCTGTGTATTTTTGGTATAATTGTTAGTCAGTGTAGATTAGATAGGACGTCAATGACGTTGAAGATTTCTTTTTCACATCTTTTGTTTATTAGATTAGAGGGGATTTGTTGTGAATATTAGTAAGAATGTTTGGTTTTGTTTGGTTCTTTAATTTAGTGCCACCCATAGCCAGTCTTTCTAAAATTTCGTTGTTTATTGTCTTTGACATTGTGTCATTTATTTTCTTGTCGGCTTAGTCCCTTTATTAATCCGGGGTCGCCACAGCGGAATGAACCGCCAACTTATCCAGCAAGTTTTTACGCAGCGGATGCCCTTCCAGCCGCAACATCCACACACATTCATACACTACGGACAATTTAGCCTACCCAATTCACCTGTACTGCATGTCTTTGGACTGTGGGGGAAACCGGAGCACCTGGAGGAAACCCACGCAAAGGCAGGGAGAACATGCAAACTCCACTCAGAAATGCCAACTGAGCCGAGGTTCGAACCAGCGACCTTCTTGCTGTGAGGCGATAGCACTACCTACTGCGCCACTGCCTCGCCCTTTGACATTGTGTATATATTGTAAATACCTCACTCACTGATTCCCCCTCACTTTTTGTAAATACATCACTTATTTTCCCACTTATTCTTGCTGTCCATCCTTTGTAACACAATTTGTTTTTGCATAACCAAATCCTCAGTTAAATGTGCAAACCCACTCCCCTAGACTGCCATGGGTTGTAACAATAAGAATAAAGTTATTTTTGTTGTTTTAATCGGAGAACAAAAGTATTCTTGTAGCTTGATAATATTCCATTTAATCGTCTGAAGGCACATGGTCTGTTTGAGGACAATCCATCCAAAATATCTTAATGCGTGTTCTGAAAACGAAGAAAGATCACAGGGGGTTTGGAACGACATCAGGACAAGAAATGAATAACAATGAATAATAATTTTCATTTTGGGCTGATCTAACCCTAAACCAAAGTCACAACTAGTGTTGGGGTAACGCATTACAAGTCACACGAGTTACATAACAATAATACTTTCTTAAGTAACAAGTTAGGTAACGAATTACTTTTAAAAACTAAGTAATAATATTTGAGTTACTTTTTAAAAAATGTAATAAAAGTTACTTTTTAGTTTAGTGAATTCGCATTTTAAAAATTGCTGAATTAAAATGAACAAGAAGGCAGGAACAGACAGATATAAAGACGGAAAAACCTTACATTTCTGCGATGGAAATATCCTCAATATTTGGAGCGCATTGAGAAAAAGATGATTATCTGAATGGAAGATGATTTTACTTTTTAATCAGACAAACATGCGTTAAACATTAATTTATCTGTATATGCGGCATTTAGAGCTCTGGGGTCTCTGAAGATAATATTATCCTACATTCAGTTTTTTTGGTTTTTATAGCTCTTATTAATAAATAATAATAATAAAAAAAACAATCCTGCAAGTTCTGAAAGAGATCAAGCCTCAGCCAGGTCAGAAAAAGTAACTGAAAAGTAACATGACACATTAATTTCCATAAAAAGTAACTAAGTAATGCAACTATAGTTACTATTTTGGGGAGTAACTCAATATTGTAATGCAGGGGTGTCCAAACTCATTCCTGGAGGGCCGATGTCCTGCAGATTTTAGCTCCAACTTGACTCAACACACCTGCAAAGATGTTTCTAGAAAGCCTACTGAGAGCTTGATTAGCTAGCCCAGGTGGGTCTGATTGGGGTTGAAACTAAACTTTGCAGGACACCGACCCTCCAGGACCGAGTTTGGACAGCCTGTTGTAATGAATTACTTTCTAAAGTAACTTTCCCCAACACTGCCAGATTTATAGTCACAAAAAGACACAATATTAAGAGCAAATTATGATACGCAAATACAAAAAAGCAAAAGATTGTGAAATTTTCCAGCTGCTTTATTGAATCCATGGGAACAACATGGGACAGCATGTTTAATTAGTTTTCTTGCTAATCATTTGGCTGCAACTAAGACAACGTGTGAATGATACCTTTTCATACAGTTACTCTCGAACATCTCAAAGAGCTAACACAAAAACAAGTTATGAATGTGACCACTGTAAATCACAGATTATATATATATATTTATATATAAATACATACATTCACTTTTTCCCTATGTGCCGTCACAAAACAGCACAAAAAAATCTCCTTGACTTGTACAGGACATAAAAGAAATGATCGTTTAAAACAACCAAAAGAAAGATGCTAAAATGGGAAAGATTGTACGTACAAAAATACAAACGTAGAACACAAACGAAAGGAAATCATGCTATGATCAGTTCATCGACTGCATCTGATTCGCAACAAAACACTGAATGAATGAATCGTAGTCAAACTAAAGCAACACTGCATTTTAACACCTAATACATTGTGCGATATCTGCGCACACAAAATGCAAACATCTTGAAAGATTGAAAAAATAAAACGCATGACTGACAGACTGAACTCACCGTCTCATTAGAAACCATATGCTCCTTCTCGTGTAACCAGTTTGTGGCGTTTCCTGTGTCGTGTAAAACGAATCCAGCTTCTTTCGTGTGCAAAGCATCTGATGCGACAAATCAGTGGAATAAAAATCACAAACGTGGAAGGCTTGAGCGTTTGGCAACAAAAAACAAAACAGCCAGACTAAGACGAATATGATTTAAATGTGACAAAATAGACCTTCGTTTTCAGCAACGAACAAAGATGTATTCAGATTTCTTTTATTATCTGAAAAAATTGTTATTGAAAAAAATGGTAAAAATTTATTTTGTGCCATCCAATATAAAAAATATAGATATCGCAAAGAACAAAAATGGATAAAAACACCTTCGGAAATCTCGAAAAATAGCTACACGTAAAACACTCTGTGTTTTGGCTTTATTGGCTTTCCGCATGCCCTTATATGGACGTGGGCGGGTACAGGAAGTCCTTGTGGCTAATGGATTGAGGTAAACTCACAGCTGACGGTGACGTAGAAAAGTGAATATCCAATAAAAGTTCAGCACGGTCTTCGTGAGGTGACACAAGCAAATATTAGGAGGGGGTGGGAGATTAAATGGCAAAGTCATCCTGAGGGGCGGGGCTAAAGGCGGAGCTTCGAAGCAAGTCGAGGCAGTTGACGAGGATAAGGGTGCCGGTGAGGTGTTTCCAGCGCTTGGTGATGGGATTCTTCATTCGGTCCAGGCCCATGTGCAGTTCATGGATGACGTCGCGGTAACTGTCGCCGATCTGAGCAGCCCACGTCAACAGGAAGTCGTAAGCCGGTTTCCACATGGCCTGAAATTAAATAAATGGAGATTGTAAATGGCCGTTATGAAAATTCACAACTGAACAACAACAATTAAATACACAGACTAATTCACAGGTCTTCATGACAACCTATCAAAATAAAAGTCCTGTTTAACTGCATTAATGCATAAACATATGAAAGAAAACTAGCTTCTTTTAGTTACGTTTTAAGTAAAACTTCTTTTCTGTTTTGTTACTATTGATGACTTTTCCCTAATGGGCTCTATGCAAAGCCAGAGTTTTATAGCCAACGATAAACTTCCCATAAAAGCCTAATGTATTTCAATATTCACAAGATTGTTTTCATAGCATCGATGTTCGATGCATCAAATTAAATAGACTTAAGCATTAATTTAGTTGTTCAAGCATAAAACAAGATGAAAGACCATGTAACCACTAGTGCCGTCAGTAGCAACAGGCTAGCGCAGAACTTCCAAATACTGGGGTAAAATAAACAGTCACATTTTAAAGACATGGCATTTAGGAATTTAATGCAGTGCTTCTTGTCTGATCTGAGACCCACTTCATATCGTATATGTAACAGGCAGTGAAGATCGCTGATTTAATTGTGACAATTTTGCAATGGAAAGACCTTGGGCTGCGGGGATGAAAATTAAAAGCCCATGTGTATATAGCCCATTTAAAATAAAAATGCTAGATGTCAGTTGACATTGTACTTCACATCTCTAAATGACATTATTTTTATTTAATTCAGTCATTTTCTTTTTGGCTTAGTCCAGTTATTATTCACTGTGTGTCGCCACAGCAAAATGAATCACCTATTTATTTTAAATTTACTCAAAAACTACTGCCTAACCTTATGGAACAAAAAGATCAACATTTTACTGCCTAATAAATTCAGAAAATCTAGAAAAAGATATCATTTTTAAGTGGTCTCTTAAATTTTTCCACACCTACATATTATACAGTGGTTTGCTTGCCAAAAATAGACTGCTTAATTTTCATTTGATTATATTTTCATAGAATAGTTAAGTAAAATTAATGCCTAGATTTGATTTTTATCATTACCATCATTTTTTGATAAGAAACAAGATCAGAAATACAAAGTGAATGAAAACTGAGAACACTGAATTATTGCCAATATAATTTTTTAAATATATAATTTTTTACCTAAAGCTCATTTAAGGTATGGTTTAAGTAAATAAAAAAATAATAAATAAATAAATAAATAATAATAATTATAATAATAAAATTTATGCATGTATGTATGTATGTATGTATGTATATATATATATATATATATATATATATATATATATATATATATTTATATATATATATAAATTAGCATATTTCTCAGACTCTTGAGCTTGTGTAGGCTCAGAAACATTACTTTTATAGTCACAAAAAAGTTCTTTTCATTGCCTTTAAAGTGAAATACTTTAACATAAATGTAGGACGCTTAGAAAAATTCGCATTTAAGGAGAAAACTTTAGATGGGATTTTGAGTTTTTTGCATCTGAAATATAAACATATTTTAAAAGGGACAGATCAGCCAAAACTGAAAATTCTATCATCATTTACTCAACCTTCACCTTTTTTTCCAAACCTGTTTGACTTTCTTTATTCTGTAGAACATCAAATAATATATTTTGAAAAAAGCTGGAAACCCATTGACTTCCATAGTATTTGTTACAATGAACGTCAATGGTTACAGAATTTCAGCTTCTTTACAAAATCTCCCTTTGTGCTCAACAGAATATAGAAACTCAAATGCTTGCGACCAGTTGAGAGCGAGTAAAAAGTGAGCAAATATTAATGTTTGGTTGATCGAACCCCTTAAAGTGTTCTATTTGTGTCCGCACCTCACTGTCCACCATGCCGGTTTTATCTCTGTGTGGAGCCTCATAGGCCTCCATTTGTTGCTTGGATACGTGGGCCAGTTTTTCGGCGAGATCCCTCCAGCGAGGAGCCACTTCAACAGCCGTCGTCAGCAACACAAAGTCCATGATGAGCCGCGCCACCAAACCCTGACAGTCCATTTTCAGAAGAGCCTGGATGAGAAACACACAGAGAGAAACGTCATATTTACATTCCACAGAAACAGTTACTAAAAAGACTCCACTGTTAATAAAATATGTCTAAACAAAAAGTGTTTCCAGCAGCTTGTTGAATGCATGCTACACAGAAATAAAGGCCCAATTCCAATTCTACCCCTTAGAGCTTTCCCTCGCTTTAAGTGTTCACATGAAGGGGTGGGGTGTCCCAACACTCTTAAACTTGAAGGCCTAAGGGGAAGGGCTAGATACCCCTTGAAATTTTTAATTTTCAGTAGCACACTCGAAACCAAAGGGTAAGAAAATTTTCATCTACACATTCCAATATACACCATCTACAACAGCAAAATGGCTGCTCATGGAAGTCAGGAGATGCACAAATTTTTTTTTTTTTTTGTCATTATTAGGATTTTTTACAACAAACAAGCATATGTTTTAATACATTAATAACAACATTCGTGTTTTACCATCATTTAAAAAGCTAAATTTTGCTGTCTATAATCCCTTGTAATAACTCCTGTATAGTAATCCCACAACATACTGTCACATCTGATATTCGAATACCCTGTCAGAAAAGTCTAGTGGCTGGGAATGACCTTTTTTTTTACATTGTCTGCTATAATGTTAATGTTGTTTTCGTGTGTTTACTTGGATAAACATTGCCACAGTGTAAATACACAGTACAGTTACAATCTTATTGCCACGTTATATCGATATAATAAAATGATATCGTTGCTTTCTGTGATTTCCTTAAGATATATACCAAAAAAAAAAAAAAAAAACGCAACTAGAATAGCTACAGCAGTGGCTGTCGTCGATCTCAAATGAAGTTAGAGCTCACGATGACATATGATAATGTGCGCAGGTGTTGTAGTGTAGTCCCATCTCTTAGGGGTAAAATTTGAGGCCCTTTCCCTTCACACTGTTTCATGGGCCAAGGAGTAGGGGTGAATAAATGGAATTGGCATTGCGCCAAAGGCAGTTCTGAAGATAAAGGAGATTAAACCAGCTATTAGCACATTAGGTTACATTGTAAAACTTTTTTTTTTTTTTAAGAGTTTTTGTTATTGTTTCTAGACTATATATATATATATATATATATATATATATATATATATATATATATATATATATATATATATATATATAAACTGTTAAATCAAAAAGCATTGGTTTAAACTAAGATAATTTTACTGACCCGCATTGCAGATTCAGTTGTTTGTTTTAAGGAAAAACTCTTAAAACTATTATATCTGAAAGCAAATCATTTTTACATGTCTAGAAAACACTTCATGATTTAAGTATTTACATGACTAGATTTGACAACTAAACTAGATTTGACTAGACTAGATTTGACTATTTGACTAGATTTGACTAGGCTAGATTTGACTACTAGACTAGATTTGACTATTGAACAGAATAGATTTGACTACACTAGATTTTTTACATGACTAGATTTGACTAGACTAGATTTGAACAGAATAGATTTTTTACAAGACTAGATTTGACTAGACTAGATTTGACTCGAGTGGATTTGACCAGACTAGAAAAGAGACAAAAACTCAGAGTAAGAAAATCATTTGCTGCAGTTTACCTAATAACCTAATAACATGGCCTGTGAGTGCATAGAATGGTCATAAAAAAGGCTGAAAATGTCCTTTTACAGCACAGTTTGAGATGCTGCCCTGCAGTTTTGCTAATAATTAAAAATCACATACAGCCTTAAATGTTTGAGTTTGTTTAATCTTATGTTTCCTGAACAACGCCATTAACATTACTGCTGCCCTCTGGCCTCGCATAAAATCTTCATTATAATTCATAATAACACCATTAGAGAGTTATATTAGTAGAGTTATTAGAATGTGATAGTTCTGAGACCATTATATGCAATAATGTTTTCACTCCAATATGATGTTATATACACCACAAAACATCCATCCATCTATAGTGTGTGTATATTTATTATTTTATAGCCATCCTATAATTATTTATCTGATATTTCCCCAAGTGCTGTTTGATGGAGAGATTTTTTTTTCAACACAATAGTTTTAACTAGTCATTTTTAGTGACTCATTTTTAGTCTAGTTAGGTGCAATTCAAATGCTTAACTGGTTTAATTAGATTAGATTAGTTTAATTAGGCAAGTCATTGGACAACAGTGTTTGCTCTGTAGTCCATCAAAAAAAAAACAAAAAAAACAGGGTAGTTAACAATATTAACCCTTCAAGTTTACATACATTAGCAGTTTTTATGTATAAATAAATGATAAAAAAGTATATTAATAATAATATATAAAATATATATTAATATATATATTAATAATATATATATATTTTTTTTTTACAAAAAAAAAAAAATTAAAATGTGTTTGCTCTGGTAAACAATGCCCGGGGATTTTGAAAATAATAAAAAAAATTAAATATAATAAAATAAATAAATAAATAATTTATGAATAATAAAATTGTGTAAAATGACTCTAAAAATACTTTATTTTACTTTATACTTTATATAAATAATACAATGCAAAACCTAGTCCCACATATAGTTGAAGTCAGAATTCTAAGCCCCCTTAAATTATCAGCCCCCCTGTTTATTTTTTCCCCCAATTACTGTTTAACGGAGAGGAGATTTCTTCAACACATTTCGAAACATAATAGTTTTAATAACTAATTTCTAATAACTAATTTATTTTGTCTTTGCCATGATGACAGTACATAATATTTTACTAGATATTTCTCAGGACACTTCTATACAGCTTAGTCACATTTAAAGGCTTAACTAGGTTAATTAGGGTAACTAGGCTGGTTAGGGTAATTAGGCAAGTCATTGTATAATGATGACTATCAAAAAAAAAATGCTCACAGGGGCTAATAATATTGTTCTTAAAATGGTATTTAAAAAATTTAAAACTGCTTTTATTCTAGCCGAAATATAACAAATAAGACTTTCACCAGAAGAAAAAAATATTATCAGACATAGTGTGAAAATTTCCTTGCTCTGTTAAACATCATTTGGGAAATATTTAAAAAAGAAAGAAAAAAAAAATCAAAGGGGGGCTAATAATTCTGACTTCAACTGTATGTATAACGATGCGAATCAGCTTAAATGAACAACAAACACACACGCACGCACACACACATTATATATACACTTAGATTATACTTCTGTAGCGAACTCTTCAAGAAGGCCTTATTCCCAAATCCAATTGTCACAATCCTCAGAGCGCAAACACTACAGATGCGCAATCAAATGAAAGTGCTTTAATGTGCGACGCTAAATGTGCTTTAAAACAAATCCACAATAAACCAGAGTCTCAACTTCTCAAAAGATGAATACACAAGGTCAGGAAACTGCAGTCTAGTCCAGAGATGAGCGAATGACCCCTTTTCCTCTCAAACACAGGCATGTCTGGACCGAGCCGGGACCCCTGGGGTCTGGTAATCCCCCTCTCTCCTTCACCCTCCAGCCCAAAAAGGGAAAAATATGAGGAAAGAAAAGCAGAAGCAGAGCTGAGGGAGATTCCCAGAGAGATGAGAAGATGTATACAATCACAAGAACATCCCCTGATGGGTAAATAAAGTCAATGACTTCCTTTCCTCTTCTTTATAAGACCATGGATGTGTATAAGAGAGACGAGGGAGGCGGAAACTTCCGGCGAATCACTTCAAAAGAGCAATAAAGCTGTGAGGGGATTTCAGATTTATTCTCCTGCTGTAGCGCTGAGGATTGTTTGAATCCAGAGACGCATGAATATTCTTTATTGAAGCCACTTCAAAAAAAGCTTAGGTGAAGCATAAACTACATGACAAACTTTCAGTTTCAGAACAACAACAGCAACAAAAGGAGAGACACATACGAAACGTTTAAGTATACAGAAAAAAAAAAGATTTGAAGAAAATCTATTTGATTAACTAAGCAAAATAGAAATATAACTAAATTGAGAACAACAACAACAAAAACTGTTGCTATAACGGCTGCATGATGTGAGAAAAATCTGATAATGCGATATTTTATTTCCCTGCAATATATACTGTGATACGAATACAGTTTCCCCAGATGGTTTAAATAGTTTTAGGGTTTTTTGTGTGTAGAAGTCTTCTGTTTTTGAAATAAATGTTTTTTTTTTAGGTGTGAAAAAATTATATAATATTTAAATATAACAGAGTTAATCTTTACACTTTTTAACAGAACAAAATGAAAATTTGAATGTAAATATTTAATATAACTACTGTGTTAATTCCAATTTCTGTACTGAGAAGTTTGTAAACATCTTGGAAATTTTGAACCTACTGTAGTTTGTTGGGCTGGTGCCCCTTGCAGGAGCCAATCAGTGATCGATATAGAATGACAATTCTCCGGGGGAGGGGCTCGGGCTAGTTGTGAGTTTTTTGTAGATTTTGTGTGATACGAACAGTCGTTGTTGAATTTTATTGGTTATCCATAATAGCATGTGCAATCGTGAGCTTGGCATGTAATTCTGGAGAATTTGATGTTTCCTTATTCAAACATGCCCAAAGCATACTGCGTGAGAGGCTGCAAAGATGGCTGCTGAGTGAAATGACTTGCCTCAAAGGGACTCTGATATTACATAGTGTTAGCCATCATGTGTACTTTTTTATTTAGCACAAACTGTGCTACTATAACATGTGAGAAATATTGATGTACATGCTTGCGTTTTTTAGAAAATAAAATATTATGCGTGGTTAGTAGGATTTAAAGAAAAAAATGTAGCTGAAATAAGGTCCAAAAAACACACTGAATGGGTCTGAATAAGACTTTTGAGTAACCAGTCTCGTATGCTAGAATATTTACTTCACAATTATGTAAAAACTATTTTGTTCTCTCATTAAAAGAAAACATTACAATGATTTACATTTTGTAAAGTATATGTTGGGTCATCTCAGCTGTATGCGTATGAGTGACAGTGGTCATGAATAATTCATACCTGAAGAGACAAAAGACACTCCCCCACTGACTAATGTTCACCCATCAAGGGT